GAAGAGCAAACCCCCCGCAAACTTATCAACGTCGGTGTTTTCGTACTTTAATATTTCTCCATTCCTTCTATTTTTCCAAGCTATTTTATTTCCTAGAGTCGCAATTCCGAAACCTTCTCCATCCATTTCGATCCCGTTTACTCGTATTCCCTTCTCATTACAGCGCCACCGCCGTCGTGCTTTTTATTGATTTATGAATCGATCCGCCACCCACCACGTCCTTACTTTCTTTCCCCCTTCCTTTCGCTTTTTCACGCTTTTCCCTTCGCACCAATCCCAGTTTCCAGCAGTTTTACGGCGAAAAGTAGACGATACTCCCCCCCTTCTCCCCCCTTCTTGCCTCCAGAGATGGATTCTTTCTTCCCGGTCCAGTTCGAGAAAATTTTTATCCGCCGATCGATGGACCCCGACCTGAATTTTCTACCTGAAAGTGGCGAGAGCAAGCTGATTTTCGAGCTTAGTTTTTCCGTCTCGCGTTTAAACACAAATCTCGTCCGTGTTTGCCAAGGGAAACACGTTTATCGCTCTCGTGGCCGATTCCATTAGGGAGGACGATAACGAAGTTTGCTCGATTCGTTAACGTTTCTCCGATCGAGAGATTGATAAGTTTCTCGACGAGCGATCGTATCTTGGACGACGATTCGTTGATGATTAATGATTCTTTTGGTTCTTGGGTTGATCGATAAATTTCATACGATTAAGATGCAATTATTTTTTATCTTTTTTTTTTTGTCAATTACTTCGATATTCCAAGTTTTGAAAATTTCATGAAGATAGACGATAGTTTTCTGCGCGAAAAAAATCGTGTTTTTAAAATCAAGTTTTGGCTACTGTTATAAGAAAAAATGAAAGGAGTGATATACGTATGATAAAGATATATAAATAGGAGGGCATAAAACCGTTGATCGATTATTGCGTAAACCTGATCTAAACTGGTGCACGTGTGCGAGGACAAGGAGGATTTGTCAGCTGGTCGTGTTTTGCAATGTTACGTCCGATGCATCCACCACCAAAGTGTAAAATACTGCATTGTGTTCTATGTTCCATATTGCGTCCAACATTTAGCTCCATGGAGACTCTAATATTACCCAACAAGGTTTGTCAAATAGATTGTACGTGATCAATTATTTTCGTCTCTCTCTCTCTTTTTAATTTTATTAAAGCAAAAATACGAACGAGTTGATTTGTCGCGATAGTAAAGCGTATTGTATTCAAATTTAAATCAGAATTTGTAAAACTTTTAATCAAATGGTAAGTAACTGCCGCAAATTTATCACATGTGAAATTATGTAAGAAACAATAGATATGAATTACGAGATTAATAGCCTGGTTTCCTTTAATTAAGTTTCTTTAGTACAAGCTGCTTTGCATACCTGTCTCCTCGAGAAAGCTAGTCCTGTAAAAACGACAGGATCTTAAATCTAAATCCGTTCAAATTTACATTTGTTAAATAAATACAGTATAATTAGATGGAAAATAAAGCTTGACAAATACGACTCGAGAATTTAAAAATTTTTATCCCCGAATCTTAATTACGAGACGTTTTGAAATAAATTCAATCAAAAATACTACAAAAAAAAAAGAGTACTTCTCTTCTGTATTTGCAATTGACGTCGATTCTTTTCATTGAAGAAAATCGATTTCTATCCAACCTCAAGAAGTCGAAATAAGAAACGTAACTAACGTAAGGGAATTCACCATTTCTAAAGGATTTCTTTAGGAAAGAACAAGGAGAAACAGAAGAAATCGAGAAAAATCACGCAGCAAATCTTAAGTAGACGTTTTCTTGGATTTCCAATTCTTTTATCCTACAAAAAGATCCCTGAAGCTATAATAGTAAAAGATTAGAAACGTCGATGTGTATCTATTTTCAAGTTTTCCCACGGAAATAACAAGCTCGTTAAATACACGTTTTCTCCAATTCAAATCGAAGAAGAAAGATTGTCGAACGTTTGCACAACTTATCAATATAATTTCAACTTGTCGGGAAAAAAATTCCTCTAATCACGACAATCGTTTATTCGTCAAAGATCAATCTTCCTCTCGTCGAGTTAAAACACTTCTCGACTTTCGTCGCTTTCGAGCTCTCTAATCCGCAATCCATCTGGATAATCGATAGGAAGGTGATATCGATGATAACGAATGAAAGAAGCGAAGAAAGCGTGAGAATGATAAATTGAGAGTCGAAAACCACTCGAAGAAAAACTCCAAGATGACGGTATATTGAATTGTTTTCGAGTTTGCTGACCAAGAAAGAGTCACGAGCAACTTTCATCATCTTGTACCTTTGACAAATTTCACAGAAATCTCGTCGAACACGCGATTCGATAATACTTGTTATTAAAACGCCTCAATAATGAGGAAGGCTCCTTGTTTCTGAATAAATTTCAATAAATTCAAAAAGGCATTTTACGTAATGCGCTCGTTATATTGTTCATTATATTATAATGAAGAAAACACGCGAAAAGACGGAGAGATTTACGAGAGATTTTTAAGGCGAAGCGTGAGCGATTCGAATTATTCTTTCGGCGAATTCTTGCGACACGAAAGCGTTAAACGCAATTAAGATTTAGTTGTCCGTCCGGAGAAAATGAAATCACGAGAGCTGGCGTTTCCCTGGTGACTTGATTGCAACTTCAGCACCGTGCTGTTATACAACAATCGTCGTGACATCCGAGTAAATTAATTTAAAATCCTTTCCTGCCAGTTCTTAGATTAATTATTTTTATTCGAATTAACCTTACTTTCTATTCTTTCGAATTGAATATTTATCCTATTGTATGATTTTTAAATTTGAACAAATTTGTAATAATAATTCAATAATTCAATAATTTATTCAGAATTAGAGAAAATTTAAAATGAATATTATGATTAAATTGTAGGAATAATTTCAAATCACTGTTAGAACGCAATTTGCACACAATAGTTTTTCATTAAGTTATAGCTACGAACGATAAAATGAAACGCATAAATAATTGAAAATTCTAAATTTCTAAATTTATATAATCCTGGTTTTATCACATTCAATTTTATCCAAAGATTGAAAAATTATCAAAAAGGACAAGCTTATACAACGAGAAAGTTAAAAATCAACACGATCTTTGCTAATCAAGACCAAACACACTCGAGCCACCTTACCAGTCTAAATACTCGATATCGTTATTTCAACCGGTTCCCTAAACTTGTGTTCGCAAGTTGTTGGGCGTATAGCACGGCTACACGTTTAGTTCCAAGTTGTAACCTTGTTACGTACTTAGCGTTGCCAACGTGACGCGTAATTCCATGGGCATTGGCCAGGAAATCGCTGCATCCACAACGATACGTTGCAACGATCTCCTTCGAATCATTAATTATCGATGCGTTATCCTCATCGATACAACGATAAACCGTCTCTGGGAAGGGTTCGATTAGAATCGAGAACGCGCACCAAGCATCGTGTAATTGCTTCACTCCGAAACGATGCAAAAACTCTAATCGAATCTGACGTAATCTAGATCTTCCAGCTTTCAATTTAATCATTTTCGAAGCAGCTGAGCCTGAACTGCGAATTAGAACCGGGGACCGACAACCTTCTTTTCTGTGCAATGAGATTGCAAGCTGAATTAAGAATGCGCGCAAACATGGCCGTGCTCGTCCACGTAATCTATTCGCTGGAATTTCGTACGAGACGCATGGAAAATTCTGAAAATGAAATTGCTTGAAAGAAAGATGTACTCTCTCTCGAAAATTTACGATACGATGTTACATCTAGAAAAATGAGTTAATTAAATCTTCAATCTTTATCTACTATGTTGCGTTTATTACAAAAATTGAAATTCGTCGATTTGCTTTTAAATTTACTTTAATTCGATTACTTTAATTTACTTTAGGCGGAAAGGCGTTAATTTCAGGTGTTTCGCGTAATATTCTAATCTCGTTAAGTACTTAGCGAAGCTGATATGACGTGTAATCTTGTATCCATTGTCCACGTCACCGATGGGACTCTGGAGGCGAGGGTGTTTGGGGTTATCAGCACTAACAGGCGAAGCGCGGCATAAGGACAACCTATGCACCCGACACAGTTGCAGATGCACCGACTAATCTCCCCCTGTGCGAAACCATTATACCGCGTGGACCGGATAGGACAATCTGCTTCGCGAACAAACTTGCACGGTTACACGCTCGCAGGCTGGGAATCGAGAGGATGAGAAATAAAAATTAACGCATGGACAGCGTTACTCCGATGTCCGTGCTTCTCTCCGTGCTAGTAAATAATCAAATCTTTGATTATCTATATTAATGATCGTTTTTTAAAAATATGAAAAGTGCTTGTTGAAAAGTGTTATTCTACGAAACAAAAGTTAATGAAAAAAAGATGGAAAGAAAGTGTGTCGAAATCATTGGAGAGCATCGTTGTTCTTTAAATGGATTGTTTATCCTTGGAAAGATTAAAAGATATTATTTGTTCTCGTCGTACGTACGTCCGTCCAGACTGATGATAACAAAAGGTTTCTGAAAAGGATCGATACCAAGAGAATCGTACACTCAAAGAATACGATGAAAACCTCCCCCTGTGTTCACAAGAATCCTCGATTCCTTGGATTGAAGTAAAAACAAGGCTCGATATTGCCCTCCCTCCCTCCACCCACTCTCTTTTTCTCTCTTTTTCTCCGCCGATCGTACAAAGCCTCGGTCAAAATTTCGGACGAGTTTTCATCTGAAAGAGGATGCGAACGGAATGAATCGCGCGGTAAGAGCGCTTTATTCCGAATAACAATGGCGCGAGAAACGTTCGAGAGGCAACGTGCCAGTTCCGATAAATAAGATGAGATTGAGCCCGGGCATAGAGAATGGGATGAGGTGCAGAATCTCTTTGAATCTTCCATGAATCGCCGGAATTTTTCGGATTTTATAAAATATCGTCGGGATATAAGAAAATTGATTTCACCGGGATGGAAGTCGAACGAGCGGAAAACGCTTTTTAAGGTTATTCGACAAAATATTTTTAACGAAACACTCACCCAATAACGCCTGGAAGAGCCTGCTTTTGAAGATACGGATGACACGCTCGATGGCCAATCGTAGCTGCTTGTCCTGAGGCCTCGTCAGCTTCGCGTGATAATCCTCGAGGAGCTCTAGAGCTCTGTGAGCCTCTGAAAAGAAAATTAAGCTTTAAGATTTCAGTAATTTGGGTATCCATTCTCTTCTCCATCCTCAGCCTTCAATGGATTACATAATAAATGAGAAAACAGCGATCAATATCAATATCATTATCATCGGAGGATCACTTTGAGTATTTTGGAAATATAATAGAATAGAAAAGTTCCGAGAAATTTTAATTATGAAATAATTTAAAGATTATTTAAAGAATGAAAGGAATAATTTAATATATTTATAAATTGAACGAATTCAACGAGATATTATCTACAATATTTATTTAATTACCGTTTTCCAAAAAAAAAAAAAGAAAAGGATATAATATTGTAGATATAACATTCGACGGGAACAGTTTATTCAGCTTAATAGATCGAAAAATAAAACCATTGAATAAAGCACACAAATAAAATGCAATGAATGTAAAGAACGATTGTACAAAGCAATGGAATACAATATGAATTCAATATGAATCCATTATAATCACTGAATTAACATTCAATGCGTTCAAGTGCGTGCACTCCGCAAAGTGTAAGTTAATCTCGTTGAATGTTGTGTAAAATTAATACAAATTTAAGTGGTGGCATAATATATCTCTCCATAAAATTAAAATAAATAATAGCACGATTGTACGTCGTAATATCGCGCGCCACCTATTAAAATGTAAATCGTGCATTTGTTTTTCAGACTAGACAAAAGTTACGCGCATAAAGAAACGAGTAACAGGCACATACGTAAAAATTTCAAGAAATAAAAGACACAGGTGCACAGGTGCATCTGATCTCTGAGCGTAAAATGACAACAAGGATGTTTCGTGTACGTGGAATTCTCTACTAGAAAAAAAATAATACGGAGGAGAGTTGGCAACGAGGAATCCTCGCAACGAGAATTTCCCTTCGCATCTTCGAATTTTATGGATCCAGAGTAGAAAAATCGTCTTTTTTATAACAAAAAAAAGAACGAGAGAGAGAGAGAGAGAGAAAGAAGAAAGAATGGAGAAGATAAAAGAAAACGTAAGTATAGTTAAAATACAGGAACGAATCGACGAACATCTGCAAACCATTCTCTCGCCATTTTCTTGCCATTTTCTGTTCTTGCATTACTCCCGGTAAGAGGCAATGGCGATTTCATAAGAACAGAGAGAACTACTTTAGAATCCTATATGCATTCAGCGCTGATTCACAAAGAACAATGCAAATACCAGTGGACTTCCATAAAGGTAAATATGAAAATAATGATCTCTCATGATCATTCTCTCTCTCTAATACTAAAAATACTAAAAAAAAAAAAAAAAGAAAGAAACTCTAAAATTTAATTATTCTTTTCGTTTTTGAGTACGATTATTATAAAAACTTGAATTCGAAAGAAACTAAAAGATAGAAAGCTATTAAAAAATATCCGTCTCAACGTTTAAATCCTCGGAACAGGAAATATTAGAGACTTTTTTTCTTTTCCATCCTCGTTTCTTAATTCAAAACTCTTAAAGAATTTAACCACCATTTATTCTTCTCGTCGTGAAATATTCCGTGCACAGGGAAAAGCTTTTACTCCAACTGTCCTAGGGATTTTCGCGCAGCAAGCATTGTTGAAAATCTGCAGATCATCTCGACGATTTCCTTCCGGATAGTTCAGACAGTCGCGGATGAGTGGCCGGCGCACTTGTTGATTCGTACTACTTCCTGGCTGAATTCTAAAGTTCGAGGAAAAAGGATCGATCAGATCTCTCCCGTTCGTACGTTTTCGTTCTGTTTCCTTTCGAAGAGTGCCCTCTTTTGTTCGTAACACAATGTGGATAGAACCAAGCCACGCAAATAACGATATAAATATCTCGATCGATGATAATCTTCACGAGCCTTTATCACTACTCCTTCTTTTATTCTCTTTCCTCGAACAACGAACTCCTTCCGTCCGAAATATAATATAAAAGTTAATATAAAAGTTAAATGTAACCGAGAATTTTCTTTGAAAGAATCGACCAAATGTTAACGCGATTATTGGACCAATTTAAACGGTGAAAGATTGATTTTCACGATGATCGTTAAACGAATTTTCTACATTTCGTATAGATCAATGAAACAGCACAACGTGTTTATTTCGTCTTAAATTTTATCCCAACGTGATCAGACGACGAGTCATCGACTATAAAAGTAATGCGCGTGTTAACAAATACCTCAAGATCGTTAATTAAATCGTTGGATAGAAGGGAGAACAAGGCAATTAAAATTGGAAGCCACGATATTCAAACGCCGCCCGAAAATCCATCAAAAGTCACGTCATTACTGGGAGTCGACTTTAATGAGCATCTTGTTAACGATGTTCTAGACGACATGGTTATCGAATTAGGATGGCGAACATTCGACCAACGATATCACGTAACAGAATACGATAGATTCGGGCAACTTAAGGATTAAATGTAAATTTGTAATTATCGAGCATACTTAATGGAAAGGGTGATAATGAGGGTATTATTTCGCGGGGGTGAAAACCGTGAGAGACATAGCTTTAACGTGAAAATCATTTTCCAAATAACTGGGATCCTTCTAACCAGCTGGGTTAATTATCATTAACTGTTCTGTTAAACGCTAAGAGGGCAATTATCTTAAATGCCCCATTTCGAAAACAACCTTTCTCGAGAACAATTGCAGACAATTCTTTGCTTCTAATTTAAAGTCTAAAAATAAAGAAAAAAATAAATTTTCTTTTGTGGAAAAAAATAAAAGTAAATGCATTCGAACGATATTTTTGTTCGATATTGTTACTATTTGAATTGGAACGTTATTAATCCATTTGATCGAAGAAGAATCGATCATGATCCATCCATTGGTCAAATTTCTTTGGTCAATTTGTGGACTTCTCTGGAATCCTAAGTATTTGCCGTCCAATTCATCAATCTTAAGGGGATGAGATTTTTATGGCGAGATTGTTTATTGCGAGATTCGAGTGAGGGCTGAGTGTTTGAGATTAGGGTGCGAAGAGTGGATGATCACTCGGAGGATTTGGATGGACGTGACCAAACACATCCTGAAAATGTGCGTGTACTTTTCCTGAAGAGAAAGAGAAAATATTATTATTCGTTCCATAATTTTCAATTTTAAGAAAAATATATCCAACTTTACGTACTCAAAATCACACAAATCCGATCGATACAATATCTCTTGAATCTTCGATAATACGATAAAAACATACAACTTATCGATTCTTAAAAATTTACAATTTTTTCCATTGAGATTATGACAAAAGCTCGAGAAGCGATAAACCGATAAATCAAAAAAATTTACGCGAGTGATATACGCGAGAGTTTGGAAATGAAAGCGACGACGTACAAGAGTAAAAGTCAAAGTGGCACTTTGATTTCTGAAAAGCTCGGCATACGTGCGTGTAACGAGCGTTCCTTTCCGAGCGATCCATTTTCGCGTCATCCCGGATACATCGTAAAAACGAGAAAACCACTTTCCGCGTAAACAGAAAAAAAAAAAAAAAAGAAAGAAAAAAAATCCAGACGGATATGGATACTCTATACAAGAATGTATAGATATGTTTCGTGAAGCGTTATTATAGGTAGCTTCGCCATAAAACTTAAATCGCATTGGGTGTCGATAATGCGCGAAAAATTTACATAAACCCGTTTAACTGCGCGTTAAAATCTGTACATAAATTTATAAACATTATTCTTTACGCGCACCATATACCATATTTTATGGAGGAAATATACATGTTTATGTTTCCAGTGTAAAAATTTCGTTTCAAATTCTCGAATATTTCTAATCTCGAGGATCAAGATATTCGAAGGAGCAATCTTGAACAAGGAAATATTTTCTATACTCCGATTTTAGGATATCTCATTTCTTTCCAGAGAAAAATTTCCAAAACATCAAAGAATTGAATTACTTTAAAATAATAAAATATATAAAGTAAGTATTTTAAAATATATTTCTATCGTCCAATTCTAAAATACTTTTGATTTTCAAGAATTATTTTTAAAACAGTGATTTATTAGGATTATAAAATATTCAACATTGATCCAATCTTCGGTACAAAGTGTGTACACTGGTTCTTCTCGAGAGAAAAGATGAAACCCTGTCGTCCCGGCATGTAGCCGCCATTTTCCATGTAGTGGATCGTGTGTGGCTCGGCAATAAGGAGAAAATTTCTCAGGGGTAATAAGGGAGCAATGGGTGAGTCATCTAGCTTGGTGAAGCAATGAAACTATGCCAAGTACGACCATTTATCTCGGTTTTATGATTCAGGTGGCTATTTCTTCCTCGGCTACGTTGTCTTACACGCCATCTCCCTAATAATTAACAAAATTCTTTTCTCCCTCGAGTATACACAATTTCCGCCACGAAATCGTAAAACGTGATTCCTGAAGCGTATCGCGTGTCCAACTTTCGAAATCTGTTTCGTCTCCATCTTCTGTTTGCAAAATTCGAAACTTCTCCTTTTGAGGACGAGATAAATTCGAGAAAGACTTAATTAAGAAAACAACACAACTGGAAACAGAGCGGGGGAGAGGGTTTGACGACCTGAGGGTTTTTAATCAAAGCGTTGCAAGGAGATATAAAAAGGACGAGATCTTTGCGAGGTAATAATACGAAATTGAGGAAACGTGAGTTTGTCATTGCTCCCCTTTTCTCCTCCTTTTATTTGGAAATTAGCTTGTATGGATTTGGATCGTGGGATTCGTTTATTTAGGTGAGATTGTATCTTCGCGAAATAGGTTTGGGAATTATTGAAGTAAAATATTTGGACAATGACTATGCGTTTCTTGAAACTTAATTTCTCAAATAGTTTGTGATTCTGTTATGTCAACATCGTCAACTGCATCAGAAATTCAAATTTCCTCGTAACATCTCGAGCGCAAAATCGTGAGGGATTGTAGCCAGAGTGAGATTGCCCATTACTTTACCCGTTAACTTGAATAAAAAATCGTTTAAAAATAGTTCGCATCGTATTAACCAACGTAAATAAAAGTTACACTTTTCGCACATGATTCGTAAGA